TGAAGTGAATAGAAATCTATAAAAAGTGGAACATTCAAAATTTCTGTGATGAATATTATTTATAATGTATTATGCTAATATTATGCTCGTTTGAGCTTTAAAAACATTGTGAAATTTAACGGCTCGAACGATTCGAGCGAATAATTTGGCCATTGATTGAGACTTTATTTTGAATCACATTGGGAGGCACTGTCACGAAGGGTTTTACAATGAATATCCGATGTTGGTGTCTTCTCCGTTATGCACTGCCGATAAAAGTTCCCAAAGAGGACTAGACGGAGATAGCACTTTGGAGGACCTTCTTGTTCTTAGGCCGCTTATTTCAGTTACGGTTCTTTCGAAGATACTGTTGTCTGGGCCAGGCCTCAGTTTCGATTTCAGATTTAGTATGGGAACATGTCATTTGTGTCAGTGTGGACTTCTAGGATGTGCACTTCCTCGATTTTATTGAACTGTCCGGGAGCTCCTTTATTCCGTGAGGAACATGGTAATCTATCAAGCATAGGACAAGAGCTACGACTTTTAATCTGTTGTAGTTTTACAGTCCCATTGAAATACTTCATTGAAATGCAAAAATTTCCACCGAATAACGACACGAGCGGGAATCGCTATAAGGACGTTGACCATTACGATGACACTATCAATGCTGATCGTTAAATCTGGGGAGGATAAAAACGCTCAGCGCAGTGTGGCCTTCACCCGATCATGATTTCCTCGATGCTTCGCCCAACGATTCTGGTAGCAATTATTGGATTTGTGACCGTAAGTACATGTATGGTAGATATTCTCCTCGAAGGCGGCATGATCTAAGGAAAACTAATGGACAAATTTGCTTTAAGGGCTGTACTCCAACTACGACGGTTCCGGGAAGTGTAACGGCTGAGACTACGATTTTATCCCTCATGCCTTATAGCAAATCGGACTATCAAAGCCTTCAGCAAATGTATGAACGAATGGTTAGTCACAGATACGGAAGAGAAAAGTTCTGTTTCTCCTTTCGTATCCACGAAAGCACTGACATTTAGATAATGCCAAAACTTGCGTTTGCCGGAGACGTGAAGAGTATCCAAGTGGAGGATGTGAATGGCATACTCGCGCTTAAATATACTCTCACCGACGCCAACTGCACCGCGGTACGGTGCTTTGAGCACAGTTTACTGGTTTGCTGGAAGTTTTGAAGAGTACAAGATAATTATAGGTGAAAGAAGCCTTCAAAAGCGTCATCGAAACTACGGGGTCATTTGCAAACGCAACTACAACGTGCTCATGATTACATTGCTCGCTCTATTCTGTGGCTGAATAAAATCTGCAAAAGAGAACGGTTCTTTATTCTCCTGGGTACTGATGACTCTAAAAACTCATTTACCTGAGCTAGTAAGCCACTGTCCTGTGTAACGGAGAGCAAACCATGATAAGCCAACCATGCAAAGCTGGCCAACCTAAATAGGATCTTCATGGGTTCGCATCCTATTGAATGAATACTTTTGAATTACGAAAAGAATCAGCCAAAAATTCTCAAAAATCATAAAATTAGACCTGTTACTTGCTGAACTAACAATTTTTTCGCAATAGAATGCTGATCGTTTTCCTGACTCTGATCTCCTGACTCTGATCTCGGAGAATATTGCTCTTCTATATCACCTCAAGAAATTTCGGTTGAAACCAGTTGAACTGAGCAGATCACTGCTAGAGCAATCGGAATCTCCTATTCGAATATACCTCTCTTTCACAAGTGTCTCAGATTGTTCCCCTTACTTTTTCTAAACATTATTAGTTTACACCTACTGGATGCAGGTGCTGAGCCGGCTGCAGCCGCCCTGCCCAAGCAAGTTCGCTAGGTTATGCTCGATTCCGTCTGCCAGTGTCACTGTCTCCGCAGCAATACGAAGATATATGTGAAGCTCCTTAAAACCACGGGCGTGCGGTTCAACCTTTCCAGTGCCTACCAAGACACCATAGCGTTTCAGGATGGGATACGAAGGTATCGAAAGGCAAGCATATCACCAACGCACTGAGCACGCACAATACAATAAAGCTGCTGAGCTGGCACGCTAACGCGTGCAACACACTAATGATCCGTATTGGATAGTGGGATCAATATAAACAATATCTGTAGAAACTTCCTATTTTATAACATGCTCCTCACCCAAGCTAACATGCGCCCACGTGGAATTTCATTTTACATAACCTGCGAAAAGTAAGATCTCTGCTTGAGCTACCAGTCTATCCGAGACTTCCAACCTCCGACGGTACCTTGTCTTCCGATTGCGTTCACATAGGCTATGAGTCAAGCTCCAAGATGCTCGTTTTCTTGCTTTATTGGTCATCGGCACCAGACGATACTTAGATGTAGTGTAGATACGGCGATGATAGCTGGAGTTGCGACTGGAGGCGAGGTAACGACCAGTGATGACGTTGATGGTGTAATAACTATGTGTCAGAGTCGTCGTTAAAGGCACAGTTCACGATAATTTTGGGTAATCAAGATTATGATGAAAAATGGAAGACAAGATCGAAACTAGTGCGAATGAGGTGAAGAAACTGCGTGCATCGGTGTTTCCAAAGTGATAAAATGCTTCGAAAAACCGTTAAAAAGGGGGCTGGACGAGAATGGAACCAGAAAAATGAAGAAGGGTGGGGCGTCCGGACGAGCTAAACAGTGTTCCACTGCGCGCGTGTGGGTCCTGGTGCGAATAAAAGACAATGGTAAGCAAAAATTCATTCACTTATAAGCATAAATAAACAAANAAATCGTGCGAAATAAAGATTAACCAAACCTGGATGAGAACGGAGTCGTTTAAGTCACCCTGGTGGATAGGAGGCCGTCGGTACAGACGAAACCTACGCGATCCTGCAGTTTCCTAATTTTCATTCTGAGTAGCAACCCGAATAAGGTCTTAGCATAGGACTTACTTTCCCACCATCCGATTTTGAACAAAGAAACCCACAGAATAAGGCATAAACAGCCGCACCGGTCAGGAGGAAGGTACCGGCTCAGAAACTTTAGATTAACTTCATCAATCCAAAGGTGTAATGTACATGGCGAAATCCTCCACAGTCCGTCAGGGCTCCATTCCTTGAAGTGAATAGAAATCTATAAAAAGTGGAACATTCAAAAGATTTCTGTGATAAATATTATTAATAATGTATTATGCTAATATTATGCTCGTTTGAGCTTTGAAAACATTGTGAAATTTAACGGCTCGAACGATTCCAGCGAATAATTTGGCCATTGATTGAGACTTTGTTTCGAATCACATTGGGAGGCACTGTCACGAATGGTTCTACAATGAATATCCGTCGTTTAATCGGATGTTGGTGTCTTCTCCGTTATGCACTGCCGATAAAAGTTCCCAAAGAGGACTAGACGGAGATAGCACTTTGGAGGACCTTCTTGTTCTTAGGCCGCTTATTTCAGTTACGGTTCTTTCGAAGATACTGTTGTCTGGGCCAGGCCTCAGTTTCGATTTCAGATTTAGTATGGGAACATGTCATTTGTGTCAGTGTGGACTTCTAGGATGTGCACTTCCTCGATTTTATTGAACTGTCCGGGAGCTCCTTTATTCCGTGAGGAACATGGTAATCTATCAAGCATAGGACAAGAGCTACGACTTTTAATCTGTTGTAGTTTTACAGTCCCATTGAAATACTTCATTGAAATGCAAAAATTTCCACCGAATAACGACACGAGCGGGAATCGCTATAAGGACGTTGACCATTACGATGACACTATCAATGCTGATCGTTAAATCTGGGGAGGATAAAAACGCTCAGCGCAGTGTGGCCTTCACCCGATCATGATTTCCTCGATGCTTCGCCTANCTAAAGGAAGAACTCAGTAGCCTTTTTTATCGTGAACCGTGCCTTTAAGCATGGCCACGTGGCGTCCTCTGGTTCCTTGCCGGTGACGGTACCTTATAGGCAGCACTGCTGCACCGCTGCACTGGTGTCACTTCAAAGTCGTTGAAAGGCACAACACTAGCACTTGAAACGAGAAGCAGATGTGACTCCTTTCAAGAAGCACAGCTTTTTCCTCCACCCATAAAATATATGAATACACGACCTAAGAACCTAACATTAGAGATTCTACGTAAGCTCACAGCTCTTGACAGAGAGCTACCCTGTTGCATCCGAATTGGTCATTCATTTTTTCGCTCAATTTGAGATGTAACGCATCTCCTTATTCTCACAATTGAACCTTTTCAATTGTGAGAATAAGTAGATGCGTTGCATCTCAAATTCCAACTCTTTTTATGCGTCGCAACTTATGTAATTGTACATTTGAGCACTTAATTTGCCTTGACAATCAATTAGAACTACTTCCCGTCCAGAAATTGTCTGGCTTTTCTTCCTTTTTCGTGACGCTCTAGGCGGTATGGCTGCTTTCATAGTCCACAATTTGGCCTGCGACCGACCGAGCGACCGATAAAGCGAGCGAGCGACCGGGGGACTACTCGTCTCGCGGTATCAACCAATATTCAGTTGTAAAGAAGGGGCCAGCGCCGCTCGGTCCGCTCGCCCGCTCGATCGATCGGTCGGTTGGTCGTTCGGTCGGTCCCTCGCTCGCGGGCTAAGTCGTGGACTATGAAAGCAGCCTATAGTTGTTGGACCATGCTGGGAACGTTTCAAAATGACAAGCTCGTTTGTGGCGGGTTCATAAAGGTCAACACAAGTGACAAGTGTATCCTTAAGGAAATTGCTGAGTCGAATGAAGAACAGACATTGTAAGGAGTTTAGAATCACATCAACCCTTCCATTTCTGGGTATCTTATCATTTCCGTCAACTTCGCAATTAATGGTAATGTAGGATAAAGCCATATGGCAACTGCTGCGCCCATCCCATTGCCCTTGGAACAAATTACTCATACAGTCTAACAAAGTTTTCCATCCTTCCTGTTGACTTCATGCCATCGAGCTCATTTGGGAGCATTAAAACCTCTGACTGTAAAAATGATGATCATCGCAATTTGCAGCTTAGGACATGCTTGCATGAGAAAGCCCCTGGAACTCTGAAGGGAAGCCGGATACGTAAGCGCATTCTGGGATGTGACTGATTAGGAAAGGAAAATGCCGTTCTTATTTCCTTAATACTTGGAAAGGCACCTTAAAAACACCGCTTTTCATTAACTAGAAGCTTTGTCTCCAGGAAGAATGAAGTTGATTTCCAATTACATGGTACTAATTCCATGATAGTAAAAAGTGATAATACAAGGGCATTCCCAAAATAAAAAAAATTGTAAAATTATCTTGTGTG